TTCATGAATGGTCTGGTCTGATGAGTTTTTGCATCCACAGAGCAGCAGTTTACATTCCTTACCCGTCTTGGATTCTGCACAGTCTCGTACTTCTTTTTGTAGTGATATATCCTGACAGGTGATTTGCAGCAGCTGCAGTAAGTAATATAAAAATCGATGACAAACGTAGCCTGCATGTGAAAGACAAACAAGTGGTGATTCCATTTTTCTTAATGAGACCATGGCACCAGAAGTGGCTCCATAAACATAATAAATAAATCTCTCACCAAGCCAAAATAGGAGATCATGGACCCAATGTACATCATAAGTTCAATGAAGTCAAATCTTCCAGCCTTAAACAAAGCATAAGAGGGTAATGGGAAAACAGGATCTTGAGCCATTCACTCAATTTTTTGGTGTTTCCCTATTAGGGCCTTTACAGTGATTCAACCATTCAATCCCCAAATTTCACAGGCTATCTCAGACATTAAGCAGGAGTGAATAAGCTACTTGAGAGGGGAGCAGTGGGGACACACAGGGTTTATGAAAATCTAGATACCTGCTAGTGGCTTAGCCCAAACAACAATCCTGCCTCACTCCCAGCCCTGTGATTTCACCCGCAGCTTTGCTCTCCTTCAGAGTGGTCCTAGTGACACAACATGTCTTTCTCTCCAAACTGACAGACAGGAGACCGAAAAGGGGAATATGGTAGAAGTGGGGCTAAAGAAATAGCAACTTTTCTTCTCTCCTCCTCCCTGAGGAAAAGGAATTGTATTTACTGTGCCAAAGACAAGGACATCAAACCGTATCCCATAGGCTTTGATAAGCGTTCTCTGTTCCACCCCATTTGATTGCTTGTAGTGCTTTGCAAATCTGTAAAAGAGCAAATGAAGATGTGAAGTTTATCTGGGGAACATAATGTCACAAGGCTGGAGAAAACAAAAGAGCACGATAACTATTTCTGCCTTCTTCCAAGGATGCCAGTTCAACCCTCTGACAAGAAGGTGCCAAGGTCAGCTTTGCCCAGCACTTGATCCGGTAGCCCAAACTAAATCAATGCATATATAGATGTTAAAAATCCAGCCTATGTCCCATAGGTGTTCAACTTAGCCTAAATCTGAATGTGAAGCTGCAGAAAGTATAGGTAAAAAAAGTTCAGTATAGATAAAGCAGAAGGAAAACTTTATAGTGAGGATATGTGAAGAGCTGGCAAGAGCAAGAGTGTTCATGCTTGAGGGTTTTCTATCATATTATCTGAGTCCAACTCTGAACTCCTGATGACACTTTAGCATGCTGGATATCAGTCATTTCCCACAGTTTGAGCAGTGAAGAGTAGCAGGGATCACGTGGACTTTTACTGGCTTCCAACTATATGATCTGATGTCTCAAAAATGCAGCTCTCATCAATATATATGGATCAGTAAACAGAGTCACAGAGCATGGAACAAATAGACCTTTTTCAAACCTGACACTAAAAACTAGCACTACAGACAAGACCATTATATTAAACTGAGCTTATTAAAATTCCTATTTTGATAATCCATATGTCTTTCGCCTCAGATGTGCTGTCAGGACGTGAAGTGCTGTATTGTTCTTGACTGGTTTGCTTGAGTAAACCCTAAGTCATATTTTCATTTCTAAGAGAGAATCTAGAACCCTAAGTCGTTTAGATAAGTTACTCCAACAGAAATTTGCTTAGCAGAAGGGAGGGAAGGTCAGTTCCACTGGCAGTAGGTGCCCACAGATTACTCTGCCAGCGCTAATGAAAATTTAGAGTTGGATGCCTGTACCAGAAGTGTGGACTATGTTTAATAAGACATTCGGCCTAAATGCCTTCAGCTCTGCTCAGTGTCTCCGGTTAGCTCATGCACAGAATAAGAGACATCTAGGAAACAATTTTTCCTCCTTGGGCTCAGTCCCTGCTGCTCTGCTTTGCCATCTTAATGCTAACAAACTAGCCCAGAGCAAACTTTTACTTCATTCCACTCTGTCCTGCACATCTTCCTCCAAGCTAAATTTGGCAGACCTTTAGAGCATTTTTAATCAGTGTTCCCCAGATTCTGTGATCATTTGCATCCCATTCACTGAGATCTGATTTGTATTCTCTGAAGGCAGTGAATCACTCAGAAAAACACAGCATAATGTATTCTGCTTTCTTCTTGCTTGCACAGCCATCAAATCCCTTCTTATCTTGTGCTGAAGGGTTCCACAGTCTGTGGCCATGGCATATTTTACCAGCAAGCTCCTAGCCTCTGAAGCTTGCAGCTCTACTAGGTTTTATTTTAAGGTATTTCTAACACTTTCAAAATCAGAGGTTTTCTCTAATCCCTGAGGGAGAGGTTATTTCACATTTGCTCTGGATGGCAGAGAAGCTTTCTCCTCTGTTACAGCTTTATGCTCAGAGCTAACCCATTAAGAGATTTCTTGATCATTTCCTGGGGCTTTGCTCCCTTGCACCTCAGGTAAATCTTTTCATTTAGAAGGCTAATGCCTGTTTCTCATTTAAGTCTAATACTAAATTCCCTTTGGAATTCAGCTGAAATCTGTAGGGCTCCAAGTAGGCAGATGTTGCAACCTAACCAAAGTGGCTTTCCTGACATGCAGGACAGCTGGACTGCAGGGGAAGCAGTGTTCTCTAAATGCCTCATTTCTTACACTTCTCTCCAAAATGTTCTTCTGCTACTTATCTCTGCCAGCTTTAGGACCCCGGACTGGATAGACCTCTGATTTGATACTAATTTGCATTCATATAACATGTCACACTTAAAGCTTTCTTGAAATATACTCATTTTAGGATTAATTCTAGCTCCGCTCCCCTTGTTCATGTGTATATTTCTACTGAAATCAGTGCTCCTGTTTACACAAGTTTGCATACATAAGCTCAACAAGGTGGCAGAGTGCAAGCTTTTCTTATTTTAAAGAGGATTATGATCAAGCTATTCATGACCCTTTGATTTTCATGGTGCTTGTTTTTTTCATTGGTGCACAAACCATCTCTGCTACTTTTTTTTCTTTCCTTTTTTTCACTTTGGAAATATGAGAGAACGATTCCTCTTTGCCAATAAAACCACTGGATTAAAAGCTATAGAATTAGACCTTCAGCATGTGGGCTGGTATCCTGCACACTCTCCCAGCAGGCCTACCTATGTTCTCAAACTAAACTTGCTCACTGCTGGTGTCGAATTTCCTTACAACAGATATTTCAAATGAACTGCAGCAAAACAATTTTCCTGCAGACTGGTATTTTTATACACAAAAGATAACAAATTTGGGGTAAATCCATTTTTGGAATTTTGACCTCAGATGTTAAACTGAGGCTAAATGACCTCAAGGCTACTACACTGCTTTCCTCCAAAAGCCTTCTTATAAATCCCCTTAGCCTACAAAAATCCATTCAACAGCAAGGCTGCTGGCCTCAGTGTCTTGGTAAAAGTGTTTCACTTTTTCCTTGTGATCTACCTCATCTCCTGTCTGTGTTTGTCATCTCTGAGCAGGAAACACCTCCTTCTTTGAACAGCTCCTGCACAGTGCAGCTTTGGAGTACAATGGCAGCTCCTAGACACTTACAGCGCTCCTGCTAGTATCACAAATGTGTGAAAACCCACAGCATAATAATAATCATGGCATGAGTCAAAAAACAAGTGCTATTACACAAGAATTTCAACCTAGATCTGAGAAATAACTTTAGTTTTAAATATGCTGATAGGCATTTGATAAACCAACTATATTAAAACTGGAGTGACATCAAGATTTAATGTCAAAACTTCTTGTAAATCTGCTAGATACACATAGGACCTAAATCTCTAATTTGCTTTTGAATAAATCTTGATTTAGTGAACTGTGGAGATTACCAGATAGAATAAAAAAACACTTTGTTAATATATCTGTGTTAATTGTCTTGGGAGATTCAAAAATTTAGGTAATTTCAAGCCACAATTGCCATATGGTGAAATCTACTCAAACTATGTGTTATCTCCCAGAATACTTTTGAGAAATTTCTACAGAAATAAAATATCCTACAATACAATCAAGTTTCTTTAGAAAATACCCATGATAACACATCTATACAATTGCTGCAACTGCAGGTGAAGCACACAACTACAAGAGTGAAGGAGAATCAAATATATGTCATTTCAGGTCCTCCTTTCCTAAGCATTAGCACCCCTCTGCTTCAACTCAGTTAACGTGCTACTTACTCCATTCAACATTTTTTACCTGAAGTTGAAACCAGGCTGTTTGCTTGTTGATTTGTCATCGAGGCGGCGGAAACCATACTGCAGACTGCAGCGGTTGAAGTCCAAGTTACAGTCCCAGTTGATCTCAATGCCAATGATTCCCCCCTGAAAACAGAAGGCAAGAGTGACTTTCGGGCTAGCACTGGGATTTCTGCTTCTGCTTTTAAAATTACTGGAGATCTGAAGGAGACCAAGGGCAGGAACACACCTTCAGTGTTGACATCTGGGCTTCACTTGCTCACCAAGCTGTCTTCTATAGAAGGGACTAACTACTGCAAAGCTGAGCTAGAAGGTAGAATTCTTTCAAGCTTTTCCTGTTTTCTATCTATTTTCTTCATCTTGATAATGCAAGTGTAGATGTAGCCATATATCGTGATGGCCATTTTGTTGCTTTAAACTAAATATAGGCTCAACGCAAAACCCCAAATATAAAGCTCATTTTTTAGGCTTCCTATCTTAATCTTTCATCTTGAATGACCTTGTTAACCAATAAATCTCAGTTCATAATTCTCGCCAGGACACTTTGTTTCTACTTCTATTCCATCCTTCAATTCATATGAACTTTCTATGGCTTTCTATGGATACTGTGTTAAGGACACTAGCCTCAATGCACTAAAGAACAGAGCAAAAATATAATGGCAAAAATAAATGTTTTTTGACCCTGAATATAAGCTACCATGTGTGCCGGACTGAATTTTGGATTTTCTCTTTTAATCGGCAGCAGGATTTAGGATGTGATTTATCAGAATCAAAAGCTGAATGAGAGTACACAACTGACTGTCTTGTATAGCACTTTTGTAAGTTCTACGGAAATACACACTAAATAATATCAGCTCAATCAATATTGGTCCCACCCTGTAAGATATTGAGAACATTTCATTCCTGAAAGTTGAGATTACTTTGTATCTCATATGATCAGTTATTTAAACCTAGAAGAAATCCATTATATGGCAGTTTACAAAACATGCAAGAACTCAAACAAAAAACATTTTAACAATAAGCATAAAGCAAATGTAATATAACAAACCTCAACTGCCATCTCAGAAAAATTCTGGTTTGCTGCTTGAAGGATATCACCCAGACGGAAAATTGGACAGAGCGGGGAAGTTTTCTTGTTGAATGTGCAGGAAGCATTGAAATTCTGTGGAATATTTTGTCTGAAGAACAAACACAGTTGCTTAGACTTAAAAACAAAAGCTGGAGCTGTTTACTGACTAGCAGCTACAAATACAGCTAGGGAACTTCACTGTTGTTAACTTGTGTTAAATATGCTCAGGTTGTACACATATAACTTTTGTTTTTGTAGATACCAGATCTATACCTCTGTCTATACCTATATCTCTATTTATACCTGTGCCTGGATATTACCAGTAAAGTTTTACCTGTGTAAAATAAACACTTCCACATTATAAGCTGAAACACATGTGTTTGTGTTTTGTTTTATGATTTTACTGCAGCACAAACCAGTATATCTGAATGAACAGTTCTGCTGTCCAGTGCATTATAAGAAACAGAACTATGCTAAGAAGCCGTGATCCCAAGTCTCCCTACTTTTCTTGGCTCCTGAGGGATTAATAGGGCTACTTCCATCATACAAACTTGGTGTTTATCACTCAGTAAGGTTATGCTATGAATACATAGTATTTTGCATAAAGCAGGTGCCAATTTATACAACCCTTTCTCAGAACACAATCACTTGTTCTTCAGAAAACATGGGAGAATGTTTAGCACTTACCTGGTGTAATCAAATTTGGGGAAGTGGATGTTGTTCTTTATTAGTACTGTGAAGTTTTCAGCACTTTCCAGAACTGCAGGCCTAAAAGAAGCATACCAAGCATAATTAAATCAAATAACTTCTTTTACTTAAATACATCAATAATTACCCGGAAAAAATGTCAGAAGGAAGAATATGTTGCTAAGAATAACAGACTGAAAAGCAGGGACTTAGATGGCTCAAGGATCAAGAAAGATATACACAGTTTTCTTAGTTTCAGTTATAAATTGTTCTCTGTTTTGCACTTGCTTGTGTGGGCTGATCCTAACTGGAATCCCTACATGTTCCTGAAATAAGATTTCTCATATAAATCTTGATACAGAATAGTAGTAAGAAATTTCACCATTTGACAGCTGATGATTGATGCACAATTAATAGGCCGTTTCACTGCTTGTTCCCATACAAACATTTACATCAGACCCGAACAGCTAGCAGCTGTGTGAGAATGAGCCACACTCATATTTCTAGAGGTCTCTGGAAGTCAGGAGTCAAGGACATCACCAAAGGTGGTCAGTCCTTCCTACTAGACCCCAGTTTCACCCTCCTGAGAATCTTGAGACTGTAGTTTGTGTAACTAGATACGTAAGTTGAATACAGTTTTTTTTTGCAGCTGGACAGAAGAAACTCTCCCACAAGTTGCCAGCCTAAACCCTGTGAGACAATCTCTGCTATGCCCCAGGATCTACCAGGGCTATGGAAAAGTAACTGATATCTAGCACTGTGTGTCTAGCACAGGGACTCTGCTGAACTGGATTAGTGGCAAGGATATTAGAGCTCTCCTGCTCCATTTTAAATGTCCTGGTCCATTCTTAAATTTCCATGAAGACAGTCATTCCAAGGCGTAAACACAGCTCTTTGAAACAGTCATACATATAAAGCACAGTGCTTGCTAAGCATGGAATATTTTCCCTATTGTATAATTGTATTTTGAACAACATATCTGCATCAGAGACATGCGATGACAAGAAACGTATTGTCTGGGTGTCACACAGACAGTCCATGAGAGACTTCTCTGCATGTCTCCTAAACAAAATCAATGAACAGGACTTGGTTTCAGACCTAATTAACATTTGTGGATGCTACCTGGCCATCGGAATTTCTGATGAGTTTCAATGTATAACAGTTGAGATAGGAATAATGTATGTAAATCATCAAAGAAACTAAAATAGATGAAGCCATAATGTGAATCTGTCTATAATTCATCCATTGGGTGGCATCTGGAAACTGATCCAAAGCTCCTTGGAAAAGGTTATAAACAATTGTCCTTCAGCTAGCTAATCCGAGAACACTGCCCTGCTTCTGACAGAATGAAATAATCAAAAATAAAAGATTCTTTTTGCCAACATGCAACTGTTGCTTTATTCTGTTCAAGCCATCCCTAACAGGAAGGAAAAGGAGGCTTCCTGTATAGTTCACAAACTTATCTTTCACAGGATTTTTTTTTTTTTTTACAATAAAGACAATCATGGGTGTAACCAAAAAACCAACATCGCTACCCTTGCATCTCAACCAGATTTAATTTGCTCAGAAAGCTCATGTGTATTATCCCAGCCTTCCTGTTGTTGGACGAAGATGATCTCTGGATCACAATTCTGTGCCAAGGAGAAGGGAATGGAAACTCCTTTAAAGAGCTGGAAAAAAAAAAAACCCTCTGCAGATGGAGTAGCTGCAGGAGGCACAGTGGGCTCTGGAGGGGACCTGGGGAGGGAAAAAATATTCAACCTCTGCAGAGAGCTCAGAATTAGGAATAAGAAGAGATGTATACAAAGAATCATGCCCGAGTCTTTTATAAGCAATGAGTTAATAAAAGTGATAACAGACCTGTATCTTACGCATGGCACTCAAAAGTTGTTACAGGCTTGGGACTGAGAGAAGCTAAAACTTAATAGTCCTTGGTTCTCTTTGAGAGTAATTTCCATCATAATTTCAGTTGAAACAAAATCTTTAATAAAATATTTTGTCTGGTACAGAAAATAAATGGCATATTTGCATCTTAAAACACTTTATAGTCCCGGGGCTAAAGAAAACTCTGCTACAGGGCCCCTCCACCTTACTGCAGCATTGTTCCCTGCAATCTTTTTCCTAGAGTTTTCTCTAGCTCAGCATTGTACATTGCCGATCCTGAGGTTTTCTAGAGAGTTAGTAAACTTTTTATTTCTGCATTTTCCTTGACATCTGAGTTAGTGATCCAAATGCCTGTAGTGAATTCAAGATGAGTTTGTGACTTCTAAAACTGTTTACATAGCAGCTGTGTGTTGATACAAACCAGAAGCTATGACTTCACTGCAAAATAGTAGAACAGGACAGATCATTACAAGTAAGTTACAGTTTTTTAAATATAATGAGTGTTAACAGCATGGCTGGGAAGGAAACAGTTTTACACATATGAAAATTGTATGTTTCAAGATGAAGGCTAATTTTCCCCAAAAAATTCACAACTTTGTCTAAGCAAATCCTTCTTTTGACATAAAAAATATCTCTTTTACTTACACAGGGGCAGTTTTCTCAGATTCCACAGGGCACCATGCTATGATCTCACAGGTTTTAACAGTTGCATTATACTTCACACATCTTCCTGTTCGAATTCCTGTAGAGAGGACAAACAAGTGTTTATTGAGAATATACAGCTGTTTTGAGCCATTTAAAGGCATTTTGAAAATATTAGTGGAGCCTTCCTCTAATTTAAGGTAGAAAATATATCAGTTTAGATTCTTGCAGCTTTCTGTAAGAAGAAGCTGCAGGAAGAGTTACTCAAAACACTGCCCACCTTATAAACATGATTCAACTATTTGCTTGGGTCAACAGTGCATGTTACTGTTTGGGCTGGGGGTGAAGTAATTTCCCCTCACAGTTTTACATGGAGTTATCACATCTGAGTCTTGAGATAAATCAAGAAAACAATAGTTTCACTCAGAAGTTTAATTCAGCAAGATGAGCAAACTAAACAAGGATATAAAGTTGGGAAAGATCTTAATTCTTTCTTCCCTCCTGGCAAGTTCTACAGAGAACTCACCTAGCCTAAGAAAACAGCATCATGTCCTCTAAACAACTTCAGCTATTATCCCTAAAACAGGGCATAGGGCTCTTGACTTATTCTGACGACTATTCAGTCATCTTAGTTGTGTTATAGACCCTTCAAACAGCCTGAATAGCCACTAAATTCAGTGGGAGTGACTGAGATTGACCCTCATTCACACCATAGCATATACCCGCCTCTTCACATTTCCCCTTCCTCTGCTTCATCTTTTCCCTTTTAGTAAGGGTACAAATAAGCTGATAGAAACTCGGTTTTGTAGTTTTGAACTTAGGTCCTCAGATATCATTTAGGGTCTAGTGGTTTTCCAAGCCTCTCCAAGCTGGATTTTGCACAGTCTGCATTGGTCAATAATGCAATACTGTGGTACCCACAAAAAATTTCGATTTGAAAATGGCATTTTTATACCATTACTCTGCTGATCCACACTGTCTTTTATACATGAAGAGTCTGAAGAGCAGAAATTATTGGCAAAGGGATACTGAAAAAAAAGACATAAAAGAGAAATGTAAGTGTTTTTTCCACTTCATGGCTACATAAAAAGTCTTTTTCAGTCTCAGGGTGAAAATATAAGATAATAAGAAAAAAAAGGCAATACAGAACAAGTGCAGCCCTTACTAATTGTTGGCCTTATGAGGAGAAAAAGGCTCAGCTACATGCAAAACCAAGCAAGCAAAGCCCTTTTCTTAGCTATAGTAACATTACCCTTTATAATTTACATCCTTTCCCATTTTCCATACTCTACCTTATACCATGAAGCACAGTAAGTCTAATATAGGACTATTTAATTCTTTGGTTGCTCAGCATCCCTCATACTTATGCAGTGAAAGCCACCTTGTTTGGAGAAATTACTCTGCAAGGTTCCACGTCTAGGCTAGCTGGATGAAAAAAGAGGAGAACTACAGCTGACTGTCAGGTTTGATGTACAAAACAGAAGGAGGGGGACACATAGGCATGACCAAGAGTAATATTAAAAGCACCATATTAGCAGAAAAACTGACAGCAATCCTTTAAATGCAGCATGCTTTCAGATTTTTCTTGAAAGCAGCAGTAAAGTTGTAGAAACTGCACATCAATCACTGGCCTGAATGTGGCAGGTAGGTTTGGCCACAAGGTCCTTGCTGCAAGGCACAGTCACAACTCCCAACTGATCCCCTGAGAAACACAAAGGTGTAGAAAAGAAAGCAAGGAATTAAACTAGATCTTGTGTGTTAGCCATTGAGAGAAAGAGGAGCAGCACTTCCTTGTGCAGCACTTCTCCAAGAACCATTGACCTCTTTAAGGTCAACATTAATGTTTGCTGTTAACCACTGGCATTTAGCACTGGAGACCGTCATCCTCAGTATAAATTACAAAACACACTTACCTCTGCGCACCTGCTCTGAACCTGATTCTCTGTAATAATGACATTGGTGATCACAAAAAAGGAGTCTACGCCCTATATGGAGAAAATAATACAAATTTGACTGAAAATTCACATACCTGATTCAGAGCTTGTCATTCCAGAATGTGTCCTGGAAAGATGAGGCATATTCTGCTCTACCTCCTATTGAAAGATACTTAAATTCTGCCAGGCTCAGAGCAGGGAAGGCCAGAGGCATCACCAGGATAGCAAGGAGCAGCCAGGGACAAGAAAGCACCAATTTCCTTAACTCTTAGTATTACAGCCAAGGAAGACACATCATTTGATGCACTAGCATTAATAACACAGTTATTTTGGAGTGAATCTCTTCCCATCTTTATGATTACTAAAATACTAATATGATCACTGAAAAATGGTGTAACAAATAGCGATACATAAATCTCACAAAGAGGGTTCATTTTTTTTTTCTTATATTGTGGGTGGAAGGGGAGATTTGGCTTTAAACATTCCTGCCTCCACAGCCACGTCTCCTTTAATGTTGCTGCTCATCTCAGCCTGTATGTTTATCCTCTGTCCTGGTACAATAAACACATTGAATTGGAGTATAGAGACAGATCAGAAAAGCATCTAGATGTACAGATGGAAGTTAAATACTGCATCAACATTAATTTAAGACTTGCCTGCATCGGTATAGTGTATTCTGCTGTATCCCAGATCCATTTGTCTGTCTGTGCCACCCCCTTCACTTTAGTGTGGACGGAGCTTATAACACTGTCCTTCTCCTGATAGCGTTTGTCAAAGAGGAGCGTGTAACTGTCCAGGAAAAACAGAAAGGACAAGTAAAGCTGCAAGAATAAAATGGGTCTATTTATTTCTATCACTCTTAGACAGAGTGCACTGCAAGATAAAAGTCACATGGACGTTTTAAAATAACATTTGTGGCAAGAGATGCATCCACTTGAACAAAGTCTCTTTTTGGTTTCACTTCTGCAACTTTTGCTTTGTTAAAAATTAGCTGAAATATGGAAGACTTTTTTTTTTTCCCCAGTCGAATGCTACAGACAACTTAAGGTGACAGCTTGAGTGTTCAGAAATCATTTGTGAAACACTCACTGTCTGTAAGGGTGCTGGATGTCATCCCAAAACTTTCACCCATGACATGTTGTTGTCAGAAATGGTAGTATTCTTTCTAAATCTGGGAGGAATAAATGCTTTTTATTTTTTTGAAACATCTTTAAAAATCTACTCTCTCATTTTCCAGAGTGATTACTTTTGTGCTTCATATTGACTGCTTCAGAATCTCTGCCTGTCTGATTTCACTTCTCCACAAATGGAATGCGTTACTAACAGGAAGAAGGCATCTCTTCCTTTAAGTTGTCAGGAAACCACTAAGAATCATTTAGCATTTCTTGCTTTTGAAAAAGGTGATTAACAAATACCACACACACTGATTAGACCATTAACAACTTTGAAAAACTAGTGTATGTTCAAAAAGTACTTTCCACATTACATAAAAGTCATATAAAAAGTTTGCTTTGAGAAACAAGCCTGACATTTAGCCATTGGAGTTAACACCATTTTCGGTTAGCAACAGACCGTTTTGGGAATAATATTTGAAGAACAGAAAAATAAAACAATTGACCAGAGGA